CAGACAAGCGCTTTACCCCAGAGGTTGGAACATGCTATTTACTAACTCACGCAAGAAAAGTGACATCACATGGATAAGAATACCAGTACAGTGCGTCTGTCAATACTAATCAACTACTTTTTTTTTTACGTAGGGCTGCTGTTGTTTTATTATTCATTGATTCATTAAGATCAGTGTTTTGCAACCGGGGTACGATGGGAATTTGCAGAAGGTACTTTAACGGCAGTACTCCCAGAAATTTCGAACTACTAGAAATCTTAGGATTGCTCCCATTGAAATCAAAGTTCTTGCAATGTACTGAGGCGTAGAACAGAATGTGGTCAAATGGTCGTTTCTGTGAAAGGAATGCAGTCCTGGATCAAGTTACCATCAAACATCAGAAACTACAACAACTCCTCACTTTAAAAAAAAAAATCCCAAACATTGGTAAAAAAAAAACTAAAACAAATCAGACATGTTCCCATATAGTTTAAATACTGATGCCTGTTCCCGGGGGCTTTTGGTCTATTGTTTTCTAACTGGGTTAAAAAATGTCTGTTTTATCTGTCTGCTTCGCCTTGACATTGTCCGTCTGTGTTCGGTTTTGTAATTGCTCATTGTATAATTTGTCGTTGCGAGGTTTTGTTGTTACATAGGAACCTGCTTGGGACTGCAGCTGAAATGTAGCAGTTATGCAAAGCCCGGCGCATTTACACCGACGCTTAAGGATTCAATGTTGATGAATGTGCATTGTCCCAACTCAGTAAATGAAATTAAACGAAAGGAATTTAGAAATATTACCCAAAAATACAAAGTAGACTTTCCATAAGCAAAATTACAGTGTGCCAGCCCTGGGGGACGTGAAAGGGGGTTCTCATGCCCTCTGAAAGGTCAATGATTATTGGATTTTATTTATACATTTGACCAAAACAAAGCTTATTACACATTTTCAGTCTGTAAAAATAAAAATACATTGATCAATTACTAAATTAGTTGACAACTATAAAAATGAAATTATTCTCAGACTCAATTTATGAATTCTGGCATCATTAACCTGAATGAAACGCAATTAGAAAATCATCAAGTTTAATAAAAACAAAAACAGGACAAAACTGTAAAACGTTATTTGAATTTTAGAAAAAATATCTTGGTTTTAGTGTATTGTGAAGGTTTGTCAATGGAACAAGTATTTTGTGTCTGCAGCAGAAGCATTATTTTCACATTCCAAATGAGACATTGCACATTTTTGCTGATATCAAATATTTATATACACTGAAACTGCCGATGTGTTGCACAACCTGTATGAATTGTAAGACTGTAAGAATTGTAAGAACAGAAAAAAAAATAATTCAAGTGTTTATCAATGATATCAATGTTACAAAAAAAACATAATAATATGCATACATTTTGATGTATGTATGTAAATTGAGCAGCTCTAGTTTCCAAGGGTTGAAAAAGGAGCAGAGAGACAGCTGTGTTTTGGGAGAATGTATATTTACAGTATGTGTGCAGATTTTCAACTCCTATGGTTTTAACAACTCAGGCTTTTTTATGTTTAGATTGTAGTCTGTTGTTTATTACTGACACTTATACTGTATGTGTAAGCTGTTTTATTGCACAATATGAAGTGCTTTGTGACCGTGGTCTGTGAAACGTGTAATATAAAGATCATATAAAGACAGTATAAAGCTAATTATGGTTATAACTGCAGATTGTGCTCATGTTCTAGACTTCTATTTCAGATGGAGGGCAGGTGGCAATTACAACTCTATGGGAAAGAAAGTAAATGTTTAAATGTTTTTCCCAGATCATTATTTGATAGTGATTATATTTTCAAATGCCATATTATTCTTATGCATGATGTTTCCTAGTAGAAAAAATCAATGCTTCCTAAATATCGTCACTACTTCTTGACACCAAGAAGAGATATATACTGACAAAGAAGATGTGGAACTGTGTGACAGTCTTAGAGCTAATTTCTTGAATAATTCCTGGGCTAATCTTTTTGAAACATAAACTAAGAACATGACGTTTGACAGTTTCTATACACTGTAAAAAGTAATAAAAAATAAGTCAACAATTGGCTAAATGTATCTTAATTTGAGCACATTCAAACTGCCTTAAAACAAGATTTGCAAATGGGACAAGCAAAATTCTCTTCAAAAATATACAAGAAATGTCTCCCTTGGAATTAGGAAAATAAAGCAACAGTTCTTGAAGAAAAACTAAATTGGCAAATTTTCTATTAAGACGGTCAGAATGTTCTCAAATTCAGATACAAACCACTAAATTTAAGAATTTATTACCTCAAATTATAACACTTTTGCTCAATTCTCAATTGCAGTTCTGTTTAAACATTGAACTACTATTATTAATTTACTCCACTACAGCTGTTTCGTCGGTTCAACAGTGCACCTGATTCTGCCTCCTGTGGTGAACTTCATCCATCCATTTTCCCAGAGGCCCCGGCCAGTCTGCAAAGAAAACTCCTACCACCTTCTTATCCTTTTGGTTCTTTACCCAAAGCTCATGGCCATAGATGAGGGGGAGAACATATATTTAGCAGTAAAGTGAGAGTTTTGCCTTTCACATCACAAGGTCTGAGATACTTCTAGTCTCTTCTAGTTTCCTGGGAGCACATTGTGATTCGTAGAAATGTGAGGGACAGTAACAGGACACAAGTAGATTTGGAGAGGCTGAATAACTTGTCGCTTGTCAAATTCTCCCAAAGCATGACAGATACCTCTGCAATTACCAAATATGTCATTGTGTTTGTCAATTATAATATCACTACACTGACAGGCCACTTTAATACAATATTTTAAGGAAACACTTTTTGACAAAGTGGGTAAGTTTTTGATTGCACCATTTAATTTCTGTAAATGTATTTTTTCCCTTATCCCAAACCGATCATTTCATCCTGGGGTTATTTTCAGTTATCCCACTTGCTTTTGCTTAATGTTTTTTCATACGTGAAAGTGATAGTCGGCCATTTTGTGCCTGGGCAGGGCCACAAAATCTAAGGGCTCACAGGTGAACCGGGTCAGAGAGGACACAAAGCTGTGTGCACATTGTTTTATTTTAACTGCTTGTCATCTGGAATAAAGTGTCAAGTTTACATTGAAAATAATAAAAATGCATCAGTTTTATACACCACTTTTTTGGACATTAAAAAATGCTTCAGATGACTACTATAGTCTCTCATCACAGTACTAACCAGGCCCTGTCCTGCTTAGCTGATTGATCTGCCAAAACAAATCAACAAACAACAATCATACAGCACATACATTGCTCCCCTATAGTTTTCTTTGCACACATGAAAAAATGTAACAATCTGAATTCTAACAAGATTTGGAAGAATTCGAGGGAAAAAAAATGCCAGCTGCTCTTCTCCCAACACAAAATACATGCTGTAGCTATTGTACCATGTATTCCTAATAATGATAACTTCCAAATTTAGCGTGTTTGGCCCTTTTATGCGCCCGCCTCTCATCTTCACTCGTACACAAAGCCATGCGTTTAAGCTGCTGTATTTGTCTCTGAGCCACAATTGTCACTTTCAAGCCGTTCTATTTGCTTCCTATTATTACGATTATGTATTAAACGCATCCCTGGGCGCAAGTTGCCGCGGGGACAGTGCATCGGCTCCTTTTGTCCGACCTCCGGCTGCACTACTTTAATGGGAAGCTGTTTAATAGTTCTGCGCGGCGCTCCCATGTCGAGGCCATTACAGCCGATGTGCCCGAATGCAGATTGGGTCTAAATGGCTAACAATGCGCCATTTCCAGCCTCATCTTGGCCCTTTATGTCTCTGTCTGTTTAGATCTTCACTCGAGGTTTTCGCCCTCCTTGCTTCTCTCTATGCTGCTCTCACTCAGGGCCACCTTAAAGAAGAAATATTACGTATTGTTTTGGCAACTAAAAATACTAATGAGACTCTTCTTTGCCCTTGCGTGTTTTCGAATGTGAAATAATATCCCCAGTAGAAAATATAGGGTGAAAACAAGTATAAAGGACAAAATATGCTGTCCGCCTGTAACTCTCTGTGTTGCCAAGAGAGGGAGGTGTTTAATTGATTTTGTCATTTTTCCAAATATGAAAAGTACCAGCTGCAAACACATTCACTGTTAGTGTTTGCACTTCGAAAAAACTGGCCAACCCATTATTTATGGGCTGTACTTTTGTTTTAAAAGGCTGTATGTATGACCTCATAGCAGTAGAATGACAATTACAGGGGCGGAGTTACAAGTAATCTTTATTTATATAGCGCCTCACAGATAGTCATAAAGTGCTGTCGTGTGATCAAAGTGAGGTCACCACATGCCTGCATGACCTATTGCACATGTTTTTTTTTTATGGTAGGAGAATGTTTGTGCCAGAATTTACTGACATTAGCATGGGTGGAACTGAAAACATAGTAAAAATCTCAAAAGTCTTTTTTGGAGATTATGTCTACTTTCCTAAAGGCCCCTACAAAATCTGTATCTTTATTGCAAAAAACTACAACTCAACTGAAATAGAAATTGGAGAAATTAGCAGAGCTAAAAACAATGCACTAATGTAACTGATAATAAAATACAAGCTTTAGTTTTAAAGGTGCAACTTAAATTCTATTTCAGTAAGATTTGCCATTGACGAGGGGAATCCAGGAATTGAAAGAATTTTGACCAATCAGAAGGCGGCAGGAGTGAGCATGGGCGGGTCTAATCAGAGCTTGTCTTCAAAAAGTTGAAGAACTGACATTCACCTTTAGCAAATTTACAGAACGAGAAATGTTTCAGGCTGGGTGGCATCTCTGACTGCCACCCCCCTGACCCAGAAATGGATTAAAGGGTAGAAAATGGATGGATGGATGGAAATGTTTCAGTCAACTAAAAAATGTTTTATAAACAATCAATGATAATTGACAGGACGGCAACTAGCAGCATATATGAGCTTTATAGTTATATTAACTAGTATAATATAGGAGCTTGTATGCGTTAGTTTTTGTTTTCCCTTACTTCTAATTCTGGCTCTTGACTATGGTTGATGAATGGGCTGCAGCCGCTCACCCTCAGAATAAGATGTCTTTTCTGTGATAAAGCTGTTTGTGGTTTTAACTGTAGCTTTTTGTTGTGCTCATTCGATATTATTATTTTTTAATTTTACATGTACAGTGTTTGAACATTTATCATTATTTATGGACAATAGTCATCTGCCCCTTATGGACCAATGGCTCTATGTGTTTTTATCATTGCATTTCTTGTGTTGAACGGTTGATTCTCTGATCTGTGTTGGCGAATTCAACGGTTTTGTTAGGTCCTCCGAGATAACTACTGTTGTGATTTAAGGCGTTACAAGAATGAATTGAACTGAATTGAATTGAAGTTGGAGGGCAGGCCGCAATACACCTCTATAGAAGTAAATAAAACTTCTTATTCTGGCTCATGACTATAGTTGACGAATGAGCTTCAGCCACTCGCCCTCAGAATAAGACATCTCCTCTCATCCTCTCCTCTTTCTTCTGTTGTTGTTTCTGCAGGAGCGTGTGGAGAAACCCTTGGGCTGCTCGGTGGAGGATCTGAAAGCGTTGTTCTACTGTGAGCTGTGCGACAAGCAATATCTGCGACACCACGAGTTTGACAACCACATCAACTCCTACGATCACGCGCACAAGCAGGTACGTGCGCGTTGATTGTGTTGAGAGAGTATCAGGCGGTTTTGCATTTTAGATCCCAGTGTGTGCCCGGTGGGTGATGTGACTCCCAGTGGGTGACGGCGGGAGCGTGACAACTGCTGTCGTCTGTTATAAGTGACACCCGGGGCAGCGAGCGTAATTACAGAGCAGCAGTTAAACAAGAAAATGTCATTTATAAAAGACTGTTATGAAGCCCGGAGGAGGTCTTTTGTGCATCCATTTTAGGTCTTCGACGGAACAGAGGCGCGACAGTGACCCTCTGTGTTAGCCGTACACTGAGGATAACAGCTGGAGTAATGTGTGTCCGCGGCTAGTATAGTGTAATCAGCTTGACACGGGCCACATCAAAGCTCCGGCGCTTCAAAGTCAGTGTTTGCCTTTAAATCCGGTCATTTACACATGAACCACAGCTACACATCACACAAGCTGAGTAAACAAGGGTGAAAGGCGTTTCATTTCATGTCATAATGTAATAAACTGAATTACGCTTAATGCTTTCACCTCAAAAACCTATGAGAAGGATGGAGCCCTGCATCAAACATAAGTCAAATACAAAATGATGCAATATGTAACAAGCCTTGTAATGTACTGTGTGACAAATCCATTCCATTGACTGTGTGGTTTGGTGACATCACAGCCACAGAAAGGAGAGCTCGAAACAAGGTGCTCTGCTCTGCAAAGAGGATTTTGAGCTGCCTGTTCTGGAGGCACTTTATGAACCCAGACTCTTAAATAATCAATGACTCTTCTGGTCCCTGGTAAAGCCATGTTCCAGCTTCTTCCCTCTGGCAGAAGAGATTGTTTGCTGAGATGCAGGACATCTTGATATGTTAACAGTTCTTTAAACAAGCTCAACAATAACAATTAGCTTTATATAGCGCTTTTTTGGACACACGCTTCACATGTCATTATTCATTCACTGAAGTATCTTGCCTAAGGACACAACAACAGTTGCCCCACTGTGGCACCTGGTGTTCCTAGAGGTCTCTCATCACAGTACTAACCAGCCCCTGCCCTGCTTAGCCTTAGGTCTGACAGGATCTAGCTTTCACATGCAGGTATGGCCACTCTTTATGTAGACAGACTGGGGGATACTTTCACACATATTCCAATGCTTTTGGATTTCCTTCAAATGGCAAATAATCTGGTTCTGAATGTGAATGTGAATCCATAGTATTGTAGAGAAACCTCTGGACTGATGCGATGTCGCTCACAGATCTTTTAAGATTCAGTTTAGGCTGTGCACCATTAAGAGCGGCCCGGAGCAGGTTTTCTCTTATTTCCAGCGTGATGAGCTGAACTCCTGCAGCAGCGCGCTGTCAGAGCAGAACCTCCTCATGCTAACACCAGCCAAGCAGCTCCCACTTCTGAACGCCCACACTGGGCAACATGAAATAAACATTCAATAAGACGTTTCCTTCACTGTCATTGTTCTTTGAAAATGAATTGAGGCTACTTCAGGCCAATGTTAATGCTTTGTTTTAGCCGCCGGCATCACATGAAAGCAGCCGTGTGAGGCTGTGAGCTGACAGCCGCCAGTGGCTCAGAGCAACACACTCCTGTACACACTTTACACACATACTGGAGCACACACACATACTTGTACAAACATACTGAAGTGCACACACACTATACACATATACTGGAGTAGGCACACACACACTTGTACAAACATAATGGAGTACACACACTTGCACACACATACTGAAGCATAGACACACACTTGTATACACATACTGAAGCATAGACACACACTTGTATACACATACTGAAGCATAGACACACTTTTGCACATATACTGGAGCACACACACACACACACACACACACAGAAGTTGCTGGTGGCTGTGTAGCACTGAGACACAAGAGAAAGCGTAGCCTCAGACTGCTCCCTGCAGGAGTATTGGTTTTGCAGAATGGAAGCTGATTGCGTTTCCTCTGTCTCCATCGCTCGTCATTGATTCAGGATAAACATGTCTGAATGCTCGGCTTTTTTCAGCATTTGCCACTGATTACAGAGATGATGCTCATTATATCAGAAGAGCTACACTGCTTTTGAGAGATCCTTTATTCGTCCCACAGAGAGGAAATTTCAGTGTTGATCACCGGTTACAGAACAGTTGGAATGAGGAGGACACACTACAGGATAACTGAACAATAACTACTCTCACATCTCGAACTAAGCATAATAAAGAAGCAAGCATAAAAACTCTAGCTCTAGCATAACGAAGAAATAGTAGAAGTATAAAATCCTGTATATTCTAGTGCAAGCAACATATAGTTGTATGTATTTATCTGTACATGTTGCAGTATGAGGCTCTGGGACACAGTGACTAAGTAAAGTGAAAGTAACATGTGGTTCTATGTTGCACATTCTGACATTACAGTTAAAATTATTGCAGATGTACATCAAGGCATCAGGTCGGCAGTGTTTGTCCTAAATTATTTGTTGTACAGTGGCCATACTTGCATGCGAAAGCAAGATCCCGTCAGACCTCTGAAGAGGTTGCAGGGCAAGACCTGGTTAGTACTGTGATGGGAGACCTCTGGGAACACCAGGCGCCACAGTGGGGAGGCTGTAGCTGTAACGTGTCAAACTGTCGTTGTGTCCTTAGGCAAGACACTTCACCCACATTGTTTAGAATGAGTCTGGTGTGTGTGAATAGTTGGTGGTGGTCGGATGGGCCATTGGTTGCCGTGCTTTATCACCACCGTATATGGAGTGAATGAATATTGACATGAGTCTTGTCTTTGAGTGTCCTGAAAAGCGCAATATAAAACCAATGCATTTTTATTATTAGGGATCCCTACCATGGGCCTGTACTCACACTCATACCATAGGACCCGATATCCAAAGCCGATACCCAAATTTTTTAATTACATTAGCGTCACAACAGCAGACAGCTATGCAGCACGTGTTGCCATGGTGATCTCCCAAAGTCTGCAGCGAGAAAGCGCTTACTGCTAGCTTAGCTTAGCCGCTAGCATTGTGAACGTTTATAAGACATTAAAAAAGTAGACTGTATGTTGTGTAAGGCAAAACTGTCACAAAGTGGGTCCAGAACAAACTCGTATAACCCCAGCAACTCATCAAACATCTGAAAACTCACCACCGCGGACTAGAACACCTTTACTAGCACAAAAACAATCAACTTTACAACATAGCGTTTGTATGAGTGGAATATGGCAGTGGCTGTTTTTGTTGACTGTTAATACAATTGGTAAAATGTTTACTTGTTAAAGCATTTTCTTATTTTTGAAACAAGAAATACATTATTCAATATTTCAGTTATTTTCGTTTTATGAATTCCCAGGGATATCACAATGTATTCGTATCTATTCGGTATCGGTAAGTTCTCAAATTAAGGTACTCGCACTCGTATCGGTGCATCCCAAATTATTATTATTATTATTATTATTGCAGTCTGACAGCAGCATAAAGGATACATTTCTTGCTATTACCATCGGATGCTGTATTTCCCATAAAGAAGGCTTCCTGTTCCTCCTCAGACCTGCAGCACAAGTCCCCTCTGTCATTCTGCAGTCCTTAAACATCTAAAGCAGTATTGATCGGCCTTTGACAGATGGATGGAGCGTCGCGGCGCTGAGCTTGAGTGACATGTGAGAGAGCAGGCTAATATCACGTCCCACTGTTAGGACATGGCTGCGGAATGACGCCTAAAGCCGTAAGAGCAGTGTGTGCGTAGGGGAAAGGCTCTGTTCTCTCTGCGTTTTGTTTGCCTCTATATATAGCCACAGGTTTCACTGCAGTGGGACTTGTTTTTTTAAGAGAGAACAATAAGCTGCCGAGTGCAAATGCAGAAGTGGTGAAGAATTCATCTTTATATATTCCATTTCTGAGCCGCCTCGGTGACGCCGATGCCACAGCAGCACTTTCTTATTCGCTGTTGGCCGCGCCTGCAGTAATTCATTATGAATAGTTCTCTGCGTGAGTGTGATTAATATTTCTGTAGAATGAGTTTGGCATCAAAGTACCTACACTATCAAATGCTAATATATACATAGTGTAGATTCTACCGGGGTCAGAATCTAAAGGGCGTAATGGAAGATCTACTCCGGAAAATACACTTTAATCAGGACTTCTATAAGAGATTTTTGTCCTTAACCTTATAACACTCACAAACTCACTGATGCTAGGGTTGTTTTGTGCAGAGACCACTTTCTAATGATACACGTTTCCTAAATAGTAACAATGAATTTAGTTTTTTTTCTAAGGGACAGTATGTTGAACTATGTATGGCCTTTGACATGTCCCTGTGAAATATATATATATAAGAATGAGGATAAACCTTTCTTTGTGCCACACTGAGGGAAATGTCAATGTCATCGTTGCGCAAATTACAACAGAATAAAAGGAGGAAATAGGAGCACTCAAGTTGCGTAAGTCAAACAGGATCTTTTATTCAAGATAAGATCATGAAATAAAACTCTGGCGCTATAATTGCACTTGGTTCAAGGATAAGTCACTTGTGGAGTATGTAACTGAGCAGTATTTGCATGTTCATCATGAGGTATTTGCATGTTTTTATTGAACTGCTATGAGAATATGACGGGAATAAACAATGGTAAAAGCAGCAGCAGCAGGGAAAGTGACTAGTCGATTGTCAGAACAGTATTATCAGATAATAATGTAGTAATAATAAAGCAGGTTAAGTGACTATGTAAAGTGACTTGTGGATTATCAGAACAGGTGAATGGCACATGTACAGGCTCAGCAGTTCTCACTGTAGAGTCTGTCCCCCACATGCTGCACTCTGTCTAGGGGATAAAAAGGATAATACAATGTAATGTGCACTCTGTTCTAATAAATAACAATTACAAACTAACTTTTGTTGCCAGAATCTTCCTGCAGGTGACAAACATAAATATTAGCAACAACACTTTGAAAAGGAGATTTTAAAAAACAGTATTGTATTAAGAGTACCTTTTGCTGAAGTAAAGTGTTCTGTACTTATGTATCTT